ATCAGTTAAGTGCAGTGTACATTCCCCCTGGCTATGCTTCCTGGCACGACTAATTCCCCTCTATCGAACCTTTGGGACTCAGGCCAGGATGTATGCACAGATGGTTCCTCAAATCAAGAATTCACTTCCCCTACTGTCTAACAGAGCCTGAATCCTGGCATTCAAATTACTATACCACACCAGTGTATGGTAGGAGGAGCTTCCCAGTTGCCTAAGTTGGCACAGGCTGCTTGGAATCTGTGTAAATTAGGATGTTACAGGACTGTTAGAAATAAAACCTTTTATAGGGGCCTATTAAGGTAATGTTCACTGGGTAGTGATGGTATGTATATCCTTCTCTAGGACAGATTTAAAGGCCATGAACTTTCTTGGCATGCAGCACGCATTATTGCCACCAAGAGAAATCTTCAACTTCCCATTCAGAGTAGCATTATGAAGATGGTGTGGCTCAAGTCAGAACCCTGTCCTGCACCTCACGATCTTCCCAACATAATTGGCAGGAATATGCATTTGGTAGAAAACATGATACAAGTGCTTATATGTGAGGGTAAACATGACCTGGTTAGCATTTTCCTTAGGGACTGCATTCTGATTTAAAGATATCTCACTGAAGAAACTGATTAACTGGTTATCATACCTTTAGATAAAGATGACTATATCTATATACAAATATAGATTAATACAGAAGAATTGGAGAAAAACATGTTTTCATACAAAGACAGAGTGATGAGGTCTAAATATATTAAGGATGTCTTTTTATGCTCTTCATTATAATAAGATTATTTTTTTCCAGGGATATTTTGTATTTCTTTAAAAATTGAAGATTATCTAGGTACTATTTTCTAGACATATGTAACAGTTACATATAACTTAAAACGGTCAGCACAACTGTAATGTCGCTTATAAAAGGCTAGGTAATCCAGAATCTTCTAATTAGGGTGACAGATTTTGAGTACTTAACTATGTTGTCTTATAAAGGTACCATCATGTTGCATTATCATTGATTTCCAGAAAAATCCAAAAGTATTTTAGTCCACTAAAGAGCAATCTGACATTTTGAAAAGCTTTCTTGCTGCAATAAAAAAAATTGGATAAACAAGAGCC